TAAGAACCCTCGATAAAATATTTCCGACAAAATATCATTTCTATATAATTTTTATTCCTGAAAAATATTGTTCAACGGAATTATCGGTCCGCGAAAATAACGCTCATAAACATTATTTTCCCGGTTCATTCCCACGTCGCCGACTCCCATTTCGCCGACAACATTTTATTTTTTTAATACTTACCTGTGACGTACGTTGCTTAAAGTACACATACACATGACTTCATCCCACTATAGCTCATGTTAAAACAACTCGTTTTCGTTGTCGTTTTTGCAGGGATTACATTAGTTTTCTTAAATCGCCACTGTACTAAACTTAAATTATGAAAATACTAGGATACTGAGGACGGGCGTGCCACTGTTGTAGGTGGGAAGTTGAGGAGATAGGAACATAAAGTTATTTTATTTTTGCAGTTTGTACGCGACGATTCGGAGCGAGGTTCGGGGTAAGACATACTTTGAGATGTGTTTGGCATTACGAATAGGATTTGAATTGATAGATTATTTTTGGAAGACTATAAAACGTAAAATACGGAAAGTTTGACATAAGTGTACAGATAATATTGTCTGATTTTTGCTCCAAATAAATAAATTGTTTCGCCGAATCGCCTTTCACCAAGTTGTCCAAGATCCTTTAGTGATTTTCCACAAAGTGCCACCTATATGGTATAATAATATATCATATATAAACTCGAAACGAATAAAAAAGCATACTCCAAAATAAATTAAAAAATTCGTCGTTTGAGCACACGCAGTCGCAACGAGAAGAAAACGACACACCGGCTGAAGAAAACTTTATACGTTGTATCACTTTTTGCACGGCCAACGCCGCGCCGCCGGGCGGGATAAAAAAACAGAGTGATGAACATAAGAAATACGTGTTTTCTCGGAATGTATTTATTTTTTTTCGGAATTTAAAAAACGCGTAGCTCTAAAATGTCACATTATTACTCTTTTTATTATTGCGATTTTTTTAGGGGAGAATAAAACGAATATCTACTATTCATTTTCAAATGGTAACCTAATATAATACAAATGTCATAAAATATAGATGGAATACTAGTCTAAATCGATTCTGATGTTGACATTTTTAATTTCCGTTGACCTGTTGACGAGGTATTCCGCTTTTAAAGGGGGGGTCAGGGCGCTCAATGTTTTAATATAGTGTTCCACATCTCTCTCCGTGCAGATATAGAATCAAATAACAAAAGACACTTCCGTAAAATAAGGGTCACAAAAACTAACCGTAACGTAACATTTTAAAGGTACTTATTTCTTGAATGGTCTAAAAACAAATTCCGAAAAAAGTCAATACTTTTCAATATAGCGAATTGATATGGCCAGCTATATCCCGCCCGGCGGAATTTTCCTTGCCAAAAGTAATCCAACTATAAACTAAGTAACCAGTTTCTATGGTAACTATTTAAACTATGTCATCGAGTGTTTGTTGTGAGTATCCTCGGGACAACTTTACTATTATTACACGGAGTAGTAAACAGGTAAAGTGAGCTAGCGAAACAAGCCGCTTTGAATACGGCTCAATTTGTATTTTTGATTATTGGACCTATGAAAGCTTTGCACTTGCTGAAATTTAATGAAATTATGTCAATGACGATACCAAACAACGGTATCTAAATTTCAACGACGCCGTCTATTTTTAACGCAACTTTGTATTTTATGTGATCGTTTTTCGAGTAACAATGAGAATTGAAATATACTTGATAAGTGTTCTTAGCAATGGGCGCTCGAAGAGGGCGGGCAAAATGGATATTTTCCCGCTCCTATACTTAAAAATTTCAAATATAATTATAATAATTAATTAATAAAATTTTATTTTAAGTACTTTTGGTGTTTGCTCCTCCCTGATAAATTTCCTGTGGGCACTCATGTTCTTATATATCTAAGAACAGCACACTGTTATTAGAAGATAGGTATTAGGAAGGAAGAGCGCACACATTAAATTTTTAAATTCCAATTTTTAAATTGTTTTTGCCGAAGAAAAATATAAAACAAAAAATTTGATTACTTTTTCTTTTTTATTATACAATGTCATTTTTTTCATCGCCTAATTAATTGTTATTCATTGTTTGTAATTTTTTTTTAACCTTTAAAGAAAAACAAGTACACATTTATATTACTAGGTAAACAAAGTATTTCTTATTTTCACGGAATAAGAAAGAGAGAGGGAGAGAGAGTGAGAGATTTAGTATGTATATGTATAGAATAAATGAAAATGCTTTTATTTTATAATAAAAATGACATTTTTAACGCAATAAGGTGTGGTCGAGTTTATTTTTTCCATAAAAAACAAAAATACAAAGTCGAATATAAAAAAATAAAACAAAAACACCAAGTCAAAAATACAGTAGTGGCACTGTTTTAGTGACAAAGAGTGAATAATTATTTTTATTTTCCATTATATTAATGTAATATTTCGCCTCGGAGTGCTTTAGCGTGTAGTCTCGCCACCAGTGCGGTACAACCCATATACCTAACGTGACCGTACGTTCCGTTTTGGGCGGGGCAGTCGCACTTTCGAGCTAGTAGTCTCGCTGTTCCAGGAAAATGCGAAAACGGGAAAACGAATTTTTATCAAAAAAAAAAAAAAAACTGCGCAATTATTGACCGATTTGACCATAACAAAAAAACCAAAATAAAATTTAATCGCCGCGGATTTGTCCGCTCTGAAAAACATGAAAAACCATCACGCCAATATTGCACGCGGTTATAATAGTTCTGCAGTGTTCGTTTTTAAATTTACGATTCCGAGTGGACCGAAGAAGCTTATGGTTTTACAAAGATGTTTACTATTATTATTTTTTTTTTTTTTTTTGGACAACTTTTTTACCAAAAATCTTGAGGCGATTTTTAAGTACAGCACTTTTTCTAAACGGAAATTTGACTGGAGTGGTACTTCAAGGAGGTGATTTTTAGATTTGTCCAACTGTTTTCTCAACAATTGTGAAAAACCGGAAAAAAACGTATAAAAAACGGGAAAATATTAAATAAATATTATTAAAAAAAATATATATATAATTCTTATGCAATTATTTTACCGTAGTATGACATATATATATATTATTGACAAAACAACACTATCAACTGAACTCCGTTCAGAATCGTTTTCTCGTTAGCAATGGTTTATCGTTGCTTACAGATATACATTAAATTTCCCCTCTACCTACACCTTCTCAACTTCTCACCTACAACAGTGGCCCACTCACGTGCAAAGTATGTTCGTCTTTTTTTTTCCTTTTTTTTTTCATCAACGGACATCGTTTTGCTATAACTATTTCGAATAATTTTATTGCGCGTTATCTTTGTGTACGCGAAAACGATAAAACCGACTGCCGCGAAAATGCATCGAAACAGACGTGCCGAGGGGTAAAATGAAAAAATTACATTAGCGTGTATACGGTACCGAACGTATAAAACCGCGACGTTATCAGATATCGAGGTCTGCTCAAAAAGTTCCGGGGCTGGTTGAATTGCGCGCTAACGGAACGTCCAAGAGCAACATGATTGATATCCTCCCCCCCCTAAAAAAAAAAAAAAATAAAAGATTTTTTTGGATTTATTATAAAATCGTCGAGTGCGTAAAAAAATCGGTCACATCGAAACAAAGCGAAATTGCAGAACGTCTACAAACGCAGATGTGCTCGAGAAAAGTCACGGAAGCCGGTGATGTAATTAATCTCACGCCGCTCTTCAACGCTCCGTTGGCGCGCAACTCAAACGGGTCCCGGAACTTTTCGTACGGACCTCGTATGAATGTGTACATTTGCAGTGTCGGAACTTTATCGCGCGTACAAAATATTCTATGCGTATACGTGATAACAGTAATATTGTATAACACGTCGTGCGGCGCGCCGGCGAATTACGTGGGGCGGGGGAAACTCGGAGAAGAAAATAAAAAAAAAAAGGAAGGAAAAAAAACGCCCGATCGATTGAACGCGCGCGGGGATAATAATATTATTGCGTAATAGCCCGGTCGTCTATCGCGGAAATAAAATTATAATATCGGGCGGCCGCGCGGGGGTCCAAAACGAATAGAGCGGTACGCGCAGTTCGCACGTAAAATTGATACACGCCTCTCTTGCATTTCATTTACAAAAGTCGCGGAATGAATCGGTTCTGCGGTTATTCTGCGGACCCACGCGGAATCCGAATCTTCCGTCGGTTTTCGAATCGGCCCCCCTTCAATTGGGGGCCGATGCGGGGAGGGGGGGGTGTTTTTTTTTAAGATTCGCGCGAAACTTACACGCGTACAATTTCACATCAAACCGGGTATATTTTTTTACGATAACACTTTTTTTTTTTTTTCCACGGACTTGTTTACATCAAAATTACTTGTAAAATATAGGTAATGGTAATTTTACAGTTTTCTCACAGTAATCGTTACTTACGCGTACAATAATCTCGTTGTTCGATAACGTAACATTATGCTCGTTGTGTTTCAGATCTCTATACTTGGAACCAACTTTAAATGAGATGCAAAACCTGCACACAGGCAAATAAAGGCAAATAAAGGCAAACAAAAGTCATTGGAATTACTTATTTAACATGTTGGTTTAAAAAATATATATATATATATATATATATATACATATAGGCCCTTTGTAACTTTTTAGTCGTAGCTGTTTTAATAAGAAAAACTTAGTTTTTATAATTGTACTATGTCGCATTTTAGAATATAAATGTATATTATAATAATATGTGTAAATTATTAATGTCTACATTATTATTTAATAAGTCGATACTTACCTTCATGCGAAAAGTACATTTTTAATTGTATACCTTTTTTTTTTTTTTAAAACAATTCATCCGTTTGCAGTTTAACTCAAATCATAAATTAGTAGCGACGGTACACGAAATAATATGGATTAATAATACGGGGGGGGGGGGGCACTGAGACGGTCGATTTTCTAAGATAAATCATAAAATAAATAACGAATAAAAATTAATTATTATTTATTTTATTGGAGTACATAACTTGCCATTTATTTTCTAAAAATTATGTTCTCAAGATGATGGCCATCTATTCTCAAGCACTCTTCTGCCCTACTTCGTATATTTTTCACTACACGGCGTATCACTTCCAAAGGTGTACTGGCGAGTTCTTCTTTAATTTTGGTTTTTAATTCATCAATATTTCGAGGTTTCTGTACATAAAGGTATACTTTTTAAATACCCTTACAAAAAGAAATCGCATACTGATAAACCACGTGATCGAGGCGGCCAATGAATATCACCATTTTTGGAAACATTTTGAATCGAGTTTTCGTTTTCATCCATCCGGGTTAGCGTTTCTCGGCGAAAAGTCGTGCGGCTATAGAGATCTGCAGGTTTTAATTCTTGAATCACCTGCACCTTATACGGGTGATAGTTTATGTCGCTGTGTAAAATCCGACGCAGGCTTTTACTGGACAAATTTAACGATAACGCATGTTTTCGTGCAGAACGTTTGTGACTATTTATGAGAGCGGCCCTAACGGCAGCGACGTTTTCAGGTGTGCGAATGGTTTTTTTTCGTAAAGACTTCATTTTTAATGCTGAACCCGTTTCTTCAAAGTTGGCTATCTATGTTTTAATAATCTTGGTCGATGGTACTGAATCATGGCGTTTAAGATTAAATTTAAGACGAAATGGAACGCTGTGCGGCTACGTAACTGTCATTATTATTGTAAAACGATTTTATCGCACAAGCGCATTGTTCACCACACCACTGTCCCATGTTTATTAAATGGCATGTTTTCTTTGAACTAATAATATTTAGTGAGAATCCTTATCTTAATTACTACTGAGAAAATCTATTTTTAAAATCGGCCGTTTCGGTGCCCACCCTGTACAATACAATTTATGAAATAAAATTCTATGTATTTTCAGTCATAAATCGATTTCATGCTAACGGCTGATAGCTACGTAATATATGTATATTTTATCAAACTTCAAATTGTAAAGCCACATTATAAAAATAACGTCATTTATTACAAATTTATCGTTTGACTAAAATTTTAGATTCCGAATAGCTCAAAGAAGCTCATAGTTTTACAATGATGTTTTTTTCTGCGGACGACTGCTCTACCAGAGATCTTGTTCCGATTTGCAATGATATCAATTTTTCTGAAAGAAAATCTGACTGGAAAGGGACTTTAGGGAGGTCATTTTTCGATTTTCCTAAGTGTTTTCGGGAAAATCGGATCAATATTAACCATTATCAAATATTATTAAAGAAAATCTATAATTTATATGTAATTATTTTACCATATTATGACATTTATATTGTTGACAAAGACCACTATCAACTGTACTCCGTTTAGAATCGTTTTTTTCGTTAACATCATTCGTTTATCATCGTTGCTTACAGATATGCATTAAAATACCTTCTGTATATCCTACCTTCCCAATTATCCACCTACAAAAGTGACTGCATCCGTCCCCATTATCCTGTAGGGCAGCTTTTACGTTTTCACCGTACTTTCTAAATTAGATTTCGTGCATTGTAAATTTACATTTCAGACCGCTGTGGCCCGTGTAGGCCGCCGTGGGCCGCTGCGAGGCGCGGACCGTCGTGGTCTTTTTGCCGGAGAACCCGTTGTAAGTCGGCCGCCCGTGATGATATTCCGAAATTCAGCGTCGTTCAAGCGTAACGATAATTAAATAATAATTATATAAATAATAAATAATACTCATTTCAAAACTCGACCGTTCGATAATTGTATTTGTTCGTCGGATCTTGTTCCGAAACTCGGCGTTTCCGTTGAAATTTCCGTCGGATCCAACGTTATCGTAAATGTTTTGATCGGTTGTTCCGACGGATATTACATATTATGCACACGTGAAAACGTCGCCCGTATCGTATTAATATATTGATGACGAAAGAACAATCCGCGTGTTCCGCGACAGCCTAGATTATCGATCAGACGAACAGTCCGATGAATTTCGGTGTTCCTCATCGAATACGATTAATCTGATCACTACAAAAAATTAGATTAATTTAGTAATTAGATTGCTTCTCGCTGCGTCGGACGATCAGTCTACCAATCTAGACGCCAAAGTGCTATAGACGATGGAAATGTGCTGTCATAATATTATGTGGTGTTATCACCAGTGGCGGCTCGTGGGGTTCATTGCAGGTGGGGTACGAAAATTTCCCTCATTTTGTACTATCACAACTTTGATCTTACCACCGATTTCTGTTGATTTTTTAAATAAAATATAATTCATTTTATATAGGTACTGGGTAGGTATATCAAAACCTTTTAATATACGTTTTGAACAACAAATAATTATAAAAAAAAAAAAAAAATTGTTTAAAAATAAATAATAAATACAGTTAATACAGTTAAATACAGTTAATCACTAATATTTTTAAATCCTAAATCAATTCTTCTGTCTTTTTTCTTCATAAATACTTTTATGACTTGTTCATTGAAATTTGGTATTTCATTCACCATTTTCTTTTCAATGGATAACATCGCTAATGCGGTTAATCGTTCTTCTGCCGTAGTATTTCGAAGAAATGTTTTTATCCTNTTTAATGTCGAAAACGATCTTTCCGCTTCTGCTGATGTCATAGATGTCATATTGTTGCTATAATACGTATAATTTTAAATGTTTCTGAAAATATTTGTTCCAAGTTGTTATCAATAATAAATTGTAGTAAATTAACAGCACCTGTTACGCTACGAAAATCTGTCCGTTTATATACAAGTTCCGATTCAGTTTGTAGCTTACTTTTGTTTAAAAACGGGTAAGCTTTAATTGTATCGTCAACGTATTTTTGCGGAAAATTTTTTTCATACAAAGAAAATTCAGAGGACATAAATAATTGAGACGCGTTTAAATGAGCTTCATATTCGAACCTATCTTTAACGCAGACCGTAAGGATATCACAGACTTCTTTTGCAACGCAAATTCTAGAAAGTAGTGTATGATCATCATGTTTTCTTTTTTTTTCTACATTGAGTTTCTTCACCTGGCATTTCATTTTGAAAATTATCGAAATTTCGTCGTTCTTTTTGAATATTTTCATCAAATCTAGAAATGACGTTTTTCACCTCGATAGAGTCAATTTTCCGTTTCCGTAACTGGTTGTATAACGTATCCGTATGTGGCATTGAACAATGAAAAACATTTAACCAAAATATGAATTTGTCATCGATTAACATTCGCTACGTATTGCGCGCGCCCGGTCAATCGCAATATTTCGATTAAATGTATTCTCGATCTCTTCCATACATTCTATTAATAACTCACGATTTCCGAGCGCAGTATTAACAATACGGCTTTTGACGTTCCGTCTATAGTGTTCGCCGATCGAAGTCGATGAGACCGACAAAATCCCGTGAATCGTAATAAAAATAGAATCCGGGCACGGTCGGACCGTGCCCGGCAACGCCGCATCAATTCTTGTCGAAAAGTGGGAGAAATCTAATACCGTTCATCGGCGGCGGCGGGCACAAATTCGTTGCGCCCGCCGCCCGACGCCCGTACAATTTAGTATCGCGCGCATTGTACGCAAGGAGCGCCCGTATTTATTTTGATTACATTTTTTTTTTTTTTTTTCTGCTATAATATTCGTTAAATAATATGCCGACTATATTATTATGATGGAAACACCGACTCGATTTCAATTTAATATAATTTCCCTTCTTTCTTACAATTTTGTAGGTAGCACACGTGCCCGCGTGCCCCGTAGTACGAGCCGCCACTGGTTATCACCGTTTAGCCGTAACGTTTTTTTTTTTTTTTTCTGTTTTACATTTTAATATATTGTCCATGTTTGTTATTATTTTGTTTCAATACTTTTCGCCTTTTACTTACAACAAACGCTTTTTAAATTTATTTTTGCTAACATTGGTTTTCATGCATGCAATTTATTGTAACACGTTTAACACGGCGTTACACGAAAAATCTTTCACATTCGCTGTAATCGTATCAATATAGATAATTTATTTAATTTTTATGTTACTAACAAATAGTTATTTTGATATTCCAAAATCGCATGATGTAGAGCATTCTGCGTTCAACGTAAATCGCTGTTCCTCGACATTCAAACCGATGTACAATCCGATGTTTCATCTGGTCGATAAGCGAGGAACACACGGAATGTCGGTATCGAAATATCGCGTTCCATTATTCGACGCGGTCCGGACGCAATATGCAATAAATTTTAAACGGATCCGCCGTTCGGTTGAATTTCAGAAGGCGCGGTTACACGTACGCGGGAACGGTTCTAGATCAATGATTCGGGGGGGAGGGGGGGGAGAAAACAAATTTTTTAACAACACGAATACAATTAAAATGTCTATGATTTTAATATTATAGTGTTATAATACGGTTTAATCAACCACAATCCATTTGCGATTGTCAGAGACGAACTTTGGTGGCGACGTGACGCACTGTCGCGGTGTCGACAATTAACACGTAATTACGAAATTAGAATCACAGTCCACGCAGATGTGTGTAATGTGTAATCATCTGTCGTACATATCACATCAGGGCCTATAGAGTTATGAGAAAATTGGAGAAATATTATGTGCCGGGAATGGTGGACTGGGCCCCTAGGGACACGTACGTGCAAGCACGGGGCGCGCTTGTATTGTTTCACTCGGCCTGTCGCACCGCACGTGTCTACGCGTCTTAATCAAAGCAACTAAAGACGCGGGACCGCGTGCACAGGTAGGTTTACGCGTTCCTTTTTTACCCGCGTTCAAATTCGTACAGAACCGTTCGGTTTTATCACAGTTTAGTCCAAAGTCGCCCGGAGGTGAAAACGTATGGGGGAGGGGGGCAGCATTAACTCTCATTAATCAAACGTTTATTATACATGTATTCGAACGATTTTGAAGGTATTATAATATTAAATTTTACACTTATATAGTAACTAAAATCGAACACAAATTGAAATTTTATCCAACAACGTTCGCTGCTAAATTAAGTTCTTAGACATTTTTCCTGTGTAAACTTCACATGCATAGTCCGGATAAGCAATTTTCACTCGTTGGATAATCTCAAGTCAGCTGTCCGCAAAACATACATCCACAAATGATCGGCCGCAGTGGCTGGTGCCAACTGTATATCACGAGATAGTATATTTACCGACTAGGTACCAATCGAGGTGTAATGACAATAACCTCGTTACCAATAATGAATTTCGAGACATCGGATTCGGATATAATTATATTAACTTGTTGGAAAGCTCGTAGGCGCCCGTGGTTCAGTCGTATATAATGTCATTGGCCATCAATTATTATCGGTCTAATCCGTCGTAAGTTCATTTTTTTCTTTTAATTGCGTTTATTGTAGCCGAAAAACTCGCGCAAACGTCAAATAATAATCGCATAATCCCACGTTCAAATGACGTTTTTTTCCCCGGGCGGTCCCGGGATTCGCGCCAGCCACTCGGGCGAATCGAATTTGTATTCGAACGTCCGTTTACACCAATGCTTCTCAACCTTTTTATAACGGCCGCCCCCCTAAGAAACAAAATATTTTTCAATATTCCCCCCCCCCCCCCTCACTTCATTAAAATAAAAATAAAAATAATATACATGAAAAGTTTAATATTGAATAATTAATAAATATAATATATATATACAAATGTGAATATAATGAAAATAAAATGTAAAATTTATGTTTAAATATGATTTAAGAGGATAATTAAAATGATTTTAAATGTATTGATCTGTGAGATGGTTGTGCTTGGTGATCCAAAGCCAATTTTTTTACGTTTGGTTCAAAGTTTGTGAGATGAAGGCGTAAGTCTCCTCTTTTGACGATGTCGAGTCGATTTCTTTTTTTAGTTATTAGATTTGTTACCGCACTAAATCCTCGCTCAACGAGGTAGGAGGAAGGGAAGGCAATTAATAATTTTNGTATTGATCTGTGACATGGTTGTGCTTGGTGATCCAAAGCCAATTTTTTTACGTTAGGTTCAAAGTTTTTGTGAGATGAAGGCGTAAGTCTCCTCTTTTGACGATGTCGAGTCGATTTCTTTTTTTAGTTATTAGATTCGTTATCGCTCAACGAGGTAAGAGGAAGGGAAGGCAATTAATAATTTTTGTACGACAGTCCACAGCCCAGGATAAATTCGACTGATAGTAGACTGGAACCGAAATTCTGTGAGGTTTTCACCGTTCTTAAAACTTGCTTTTAACATCTCGTTAGTGGAAATTTCGATCAATTCGTCTTGATACTGTAGTTTTGCTGATTCGTTTGCTTGATAATCAAACGTTTGACGCTCTGGTATGTGTAGCTTATATTTCATAATCACGGGTTTATTTTAGTAATCGATAAAAACGAAAACATTTACCAAGATAAATCTTGGTGCGTTGCTTTGAACGGAAAAAAAGTCCACCGCCCATCAGTACTCCTTCACCGCCCACCGGGGGGGGGGCGGGCGATATCGCCCCCGTTGAGAAGCACTGGTTTACGCGGCCGAATATTTGCGCACATCAGACTGTTGCCGGCCGGCTCGCGCGAGGAAAACCGAACGTATAAACCCGCATAAAAATGTTACGGACGGTATCATAGTGCGTTTTGTACCGACGATATGATATTATCGCGAACATTCCGACGCGACACGAAAAAGCCACCCGCCGCCCCCCCACCCCCCGACAAGGATACGGTCTAAGGTCCTCCGCGCGCGCACTAGGCGATCGCAACGATCAGTGTGACGTGTGCGGTACTGGCGGTTGACGCGATTCGAGGTCCACCGACGCGCTAAACGACATCCAGTCGGCCGTGTGCAGTTAGCACTGAGCATACAGACTGGTATACCGTACGACCGTGGACACTCGTATGTTACCCCCGGGCCATTTGGGAGCGCCGGACGATTCCCCGGGTGCGTTCGGTGCGCCGGAGCGTGGCGCCACCAGCTAATCCGCCGTTGGGCCTGCGCAACGGCCATGCCGCCGTCAAGTGAGTTCGCTCCTGGCGCTTTTAACCGCCACCTAACGAAACTCGTAAGCCCGTTTCGAAGTTCGAGCGACCGAACGCAAACCGAAACACACGCCCGGTCTCCGGGAATTGGTTCGACGCCTAGCGGGGGTCGATAATATTGTCATGAGTTTTACACGATTCGACCCCCCCCCAACCCCTCGAAGACCGACGTGAATGGACGGAATGAGTACAATCAATCAGTCTGGGTACGAATGTCATTCGCGTGACTTGTTTTGATTGAAAAATGTCAATTTCGACCAGTTCGAACGATGAACGAAGACATTGTTACGTACTACTGGTACAATAGGATGCTAAAAAAAAAAAAAATGTAAAAACATAAGGAAATATTGTGTTCAACCGTACATAGAGAAAATATCAACTGCCGAACGTTTGTAGCGGCCAGAGAGCTATACAAGAAACCGATGCGAAATTGTTGGCATTTTCATCGGTTGAACACACACGTGAGAGAAATCGCATTGTTAATGGATTCCCATTCGCTTTACTAAAAAATCGCGAGGGGGGAAAAATCCCGTCACGTGTCAATCGCGTATAGGTAGCGTGTGGAGAATTCCTAAATGAATATTAATTGTGTTCGCTTTTCGACGCGATTACGGATTCACGGATTCACGGATTACGAACCCCGATCGTGAATGTATTTTTTATTATTATTTTTTTTTTTCCAAGATTCGGAGCGCGGCCAGAAATATTATTGATTTCAGTGCCGGGGGCGGAAAAGGTTTTTTTTTTTTAACGAAAACGAAAGGTATGAAAGAACGACAAATAATATAAAACGGAAATAATAATTATACCCTTAAATACATAATAAAAAAAAAGAGGTGAGGACGGGTTGCTATTGTAGGTGGGAAGTTGAGAAGATTGAATACATACAATTATTTAATTTGTATTTAATTTTGACAACGATAAACCATTACTAACGATAAACGATTTGGAGTGAAGTTCTTTGGTACATGATTTTAAAGGTCTTCATATTTACGATTTTCATCAAAATTTGATCATAGACACATTTGAAAAAAAAAAAAATAATACTAGATTACTTTTTTTTTTTAACATTAAGTATAACTTATAATATTTTGTTGTTGTTTGAGATTTGTGGATTTCTGGGTTACCTTGGCAACAAGAGAAAAAACATGACTATACTGCTCCACTTAGAAACGTTTTTTGATTTGCATTAATCTATTAGAACACACCACATATGGTATGTAAACTAAATTATTTTGTGAGTATATCTTAACCTTCTTGATTGCATCATTAGATTTTACTATGATCTGTGCGTTTTTTGTTGTTTGTAAACAACTTATCTACTAGAAATCTTATTCCAATCAAAAACTGAAAAGAGATTTTTTTTGTTGCATTTTGAATCTAGCTAGTGAATTGGGGAGGTAAATTTTTGAAATTTTCGAGGGGTTTTCGAAATAATTGAGAAAAACTATATAGGACAAACGAAAAAATATTTATTGCGCGTCACGACATAATCGATTTCATTATTTTTAATTTTTTACGAATTATGTTTTTTACCGAAAATCTTGCTGCAATCAAAAAATGCCGTAAAGCTTTTTAAATTCTTTGTAGTATCTTGGATCTTTTTAGTGAGTAAGTAAGTCTTTTTTTTGATTCTCCGTGTAATTTTCCGAAATAAATATTGTACAAATTACAGCTTTTTAAAAAATGTATAACCGAAATTTGCCGAATCGTTTTTCGTTAGCAATGGATCTATTTGGATCAATGGATTTGAATTAATATAAATTAAATATATTTATGTATTCTAACTTTCCACCTACAACAGTGGGACGGGTATGCTACTGTTATTGTATTAATTCTTCTTTTGATTCTAAACGTAGCGAGGGTTTTATTGTTTTTACTTTGTGTGTGTGTTTTTTTTTCTGAACCTGTGAGCAACTTTCTACCAGTAATATAGGGCCAGTAAAAAAATTACAAGAGACTTCTTTTAATACATTTTAATGCTGTTGGTGACATAGTAAATCGTTTCTTAATTTTCTATACAATTTTCTAACAATTTCATTATTTTAAATTTTTTAATTTCATTTTTCTACCGGAAATCTCGTTGAAATTTTCATGTGTAGCCTATTTTCTGAAAGACCATTTTGTCTATGGTTGATCATAGGCGGATATTAGGGGAGACTGGGGGGGAGTGTTACTTAAGTCCCCCAAAACGTAATCAAGCCACACCAGACGTCAAAATAAATTGTATATTTTAATATTTAATATTTACAATTTTTAATTTACTTCGTTGGTATACCGAAAATGGTCTGTAATATTCAAGGACTATCATTGTTGGGAACAACCAAGCTGCAGACCGCAGCAGTAGTGTCGTCAGTGGAATGTGCAGCGTGTTCGTCTTTAATTTTTTTTGTTTTTGAATAATACTTACGCGTTATCTTTTATCTATACGTGATGTCCCGCTAGTGCAAAACAATATTATTTGTGTGTGTTATGTGAATTTATCAATTTTTTTTAAATCACAATCAATTCAATAATGCCTAAAAGAGTGTATGATATCTTTACTGTTCAAAAATAAAAATTAGTTGTTACTGATTCCCCATCGACGACAACACTGAAATCTGAATGTAAACAATTCAATGTTGGTTTATTAATGCCTCGTTTACATTCAGCCCATTTCCGTAGCAGTGGGCAGAGTAGACAGCATGGAAGTGGGCAGCGCGAGTATGTAAACATGTCACTCGCGCTGACCACGCTCCTTGCTTTGTCGCTGTTCGACGCTCCCGTCAACAGCGGTAAATCGAGCAGCGCGTGCGGCGACCTGACCGGCACGTATAAGTTTGCACCAATTAGCAGGGCAATGTAAACACTCGTTGCCTACTACGCTGCCACTGAAGCGTTCCGGCAATTAATTACAACAATGCGAGAAACTGTGGCGACGACTGAATGTGAATGAGATATAAAAATTGATATAACTGCACAAAAAAGAAATGAAAGTTTTTTTTTCTTTTCTATTTTTTCAAAAGTTGATTTTTTACTTACTCTCTAGTTTCCTAGTTTTATTAAAAATAAACCTGTAGGTATATTTAAATATTTTTTCAGGATTTGATGAATGTATCTAAAGTTATGTAATTGTATATTGCCGTCTACGGATGAAAAGTATATAACTTTAAATGATGTGAAAAACGTTTTATCAAAAAAGGTTTTCCTTAATTTATATAAATTATTTCATGTTGCCATAACAATACCTATAAGTTCTTCCACTTGTGAAAGGAGTTTTTCGGCCATGCGTCGAATAAAAATTGGCTTCGAACTTTAATGTTGAAAGAGCAGTTCAACAACTCTTAATTTTTGTATATTGAATAAAAATTATCTAAACGGATTGATACCGATACCATTATTAATATATTTGCACAAAGCAATATATTTATACAGTTAAAATTTTAAAAAATTAGTAGCTATCAATCATTTATTTTTTCATGTTCCTATTATCTATATATTATTATACTTGGTGTCTCAGCTAAAATAAAGTAGGAATAGTCACTAGCTATAGTAGGTTTAAGCGTCTAAAAATGTGTGTATACGATAATGAACAAGACAAAAAAAAAATCCAATCATAAAGTATAACTACACTGCATAGTATTTTATCTCGACTACGAAACCCTATTATTATTATTTCTAGTCATTATCAGACGGGAACTTATCTTAAATCTAATCTACAACGATAATGTCAATAACGATGATTAAAGATCATATGACCTCGAACTTACTGCAATTACAATTAACGTTCAGCTTATTTTGTTATAATTCGAAGTTTTATAACCGATAAAGGAAATTAATGAATTCTGTACTAAAAATATTACAATAGAGGTATTAATTTTTTAATAAGAATAATAACGCTATTAGGTGAAAATGTTCATAAAATACAACATTAAAAAGTCCGAGAATAATTATAATAAATTCAATTAAACGCGCAAGTTTTAAATGTATAATAATTTTTATAGCGTATTGTATTATACAAGGTGAAATCATTAATTTTATTTCAGTATACCTATAAAATATTCAAATATTGAACCACTGAAAATATTGTAGGTATATTGTCAATTTATATTTAGTTTAATTTTGGATTCATTAATATTTTATAGTAGGTGCTTACCAATATTTCACCTATTTGTAATAACACAAAAAAGGAATAAACGTTTCTCTTTGTAATAGCTCGAAAAGAAAAGAATCCCTATTTCCTTCTCTTTTTGAGTACTCCCTGGTATAGATAGAGGTGATGCAATACAAAAATCAAATAAGAATAATAATAAATAAGAGATATAAGAGAGTATTAAAGGGTAAAAGGGGGTGTTCAACTTAATAATTATGTTCTTCCTGATGTTTCTCTAAACAGACTCGGGAGTACGAGAATGGTGACTAGATCAATAAATAAGAAATACAATTGTTATACCTGCCTACAGTTTTGGAACGTTAGGGTTGTACACTTATACCTATACCCTCACGTGATCCAGGAATGGCTGGGTGACGACGACAACACAATTGCAATATTGTAATTTCATATATTTAACACTTCGATACTGCGTGCACTCGGATGAAAAATATGTTAATATTTAAATTAGGAAATAAGAAAGGTTTAACTATTAAAATAAATGTTTAAAGAAAATGAAGTGAACGAATGATTAATCGCTAAAAGTCGGAGCTAGCTATATGAGGGATTTTCGAAAGAGGTCGGCGTACTTGTCGCGTGTACGGGGTTCTTGGCGCTCGAGATTCTATGAGAAACCCCGTTTTTATTTGTATATTTATTCGTTTTATGTGGCGAAAGGTCGCCCATAAATAATAATGTTATATTGTTTTGAATTTTGTATAGAAATATGTACAAAGGTATCCAGCGTGGGAGTGTGACGACGGCGTGGCGGTGTCATCAAGGGATTTACAGACATCGTATATCTTTATTTTCATTTGATCCGTATTGAAATATTTCGATTTAAAGTAATATTTGGGATATGAATGAATCTCTCCCGAACGACGAAAAAACCGTTATTAATTGTGTGCTTAAAAAGGGCGCGTCGGTCTTTGCGTCAGTGTCGAAAGAAGATAACTAATAATGCAATTATATTTATTGGAATATTGTACGGAAATAATTATTGTAAGAACACTCAGAGTCCGACAGTTTGCAGACGTCGTAATAATGTCTACTAAGTTTAATCCATTTTAAAATATTTTGATTGCAAGGAATACATGTATCTCTACCGAACAACGAATACTCCGTTATTTGTATTAAATAATTGGCTTTTATTAATAGAAAATCTAAGTGATCGGCCGCATTTTAATCGTTTAGTCACGCTTTTATAAATTATATGAATAGTTATACATATTATGGCGTGCGTCAAATTTTCGTTTACCGAAAAACTTGTTAAACTTTATCTGGATATCTTACCCGATGTTCACGTTTTTTCTGCTGAACTTAGAATACGACCAGGAAAAACTGATAACAAATAATATAGGTACATTTCCTAAAACAACTATTGACGCTTTATACGTATACGTATGTAGCCAATCTATTTTTCACGTTATTTATGATGTAGGTACCCATTGAAAATATTATGCACCATACCAGTATCTACGTCTCCCGAAAGAAAATTTCCATGCGTGAAAAGATCGAAAACCCATCAAAGAAACACAATGAGTGAAGCAGGTACCTAAGGGCTAATAATAATAGCTATGATGAAATTATTTTTATGATGCATGAGTTTCCATGTGTATGGTTAAATTAAAATTTCATCGAAATGATTTCTGACATAAATTGTTGCATTTGTAAGGTTTATTTTCAGAGTGAATTAACTTATGACGCTTTAAGTCGGTTAATTGTGAAAATGATCGCACACAACCATCACACTTATAAGATTTCTGACCTGTACGAGTTTTTATATTTATTGCCAAATCAGTTTTTTGTCCAAATGATTTATTACACACATCCTACTGAACAAGTTTTGTGTCCCTAAAAATGTGTGGTTTTTCTTTAGTGTGTGTTTTCTTCTCTAAATGTTTCATTGTATATAATTCCAAGCTTAATTTTGAATTTTATGATTTTCCGTAATTATAACAAGTTTTCTGAAATTTGATACTTTAGGGAAGTCATTTTTTTGATTTCACAAACGGTTTTTGGGAAGGTTGAGAAAATTGGTCAATTGGGAAAAACTTGAGGAAAATAAGAAAATGTACGAAATGTGTTATTTTTAGTTTTGTATTTTGTTGTGATTAATGTTTGATTGTTTTATTAATGTTTAAATAAATCACAGGGGTGAGTCTATAATATGTAAAAAAAAAGTTGTACATATTTTGCATTATAATAAGAATTTAATAGTTATGACTAAAGACTGGATTAATTTAATTTAAAACACACACGAATTGCATATTAAAATTATATAATTGCACCAAAAAATACGTAAAAATTTCATAATAAATTGCACTATAAAAATGCAAAAATGTTAAAAAAAAAATTGGATAAATATTACTTTTTTAAATTAAATTGATAATTAGATACATTTTTTTTACCAGACATGACTTCATAGTATGACTTTAAAATTGTATACCCTTCATTTTTTTCAATTACATACATACATTTTTCTTTAATTTTTTTCACATTTGGACCAAAAATACTTGTTAAAATATTTTCGATTTTTCTAAAAATATCTAAGTTTTTCAGTAGTTCACTATTCGATTTTTCCGAATTTTTAAAACTCATGGATAACTCGGATAAGTGTATTTTTATGAATGCTAAACCACATTTGACTGCATTATTTTGTCCAAGCTGTTTCAGCTTTTCGACACTTGTAGCATCATCTGTTAAACTTTCAATCACGTTTTTAAACTCTTCAAAATTATTTGCATAGTAAAGTGCAACATTTAACCATGTTTTTCATCTTGTAATAGTAGGTTCGGGTGGTAAAGCAGCATTTCTTTTCTGTATTTATTCTCAATGGTGCTTTTAAGAAAGCTTTTTTTCCTTAAATAAACGAAATAAGTTACATTTGTATTTAAATTTTAAATAGGTTCTTAATATACTACCATTGTTAATAAATTTATTAATGTCGGGATACAATTCACGAACTTTTTCTAGAACTGCGTGCGCCAAACATGTAATATGAATTAATTTTCGAGAATAATATTTTTAATGTTTTTGTTGCTTTGATCATATTAGTACCAGTATCACTAAAAAAAAGGAATACTTTTTGTTCAATACCAGGACATATTTTAACGAGGAATTAATCAACTGACAAACAGTTTCATAATTGGCGGATTTTAGTTATTTACATGCAACTGAATATGATTTACTAGGCGTCCCATTTAATTTACCAATCAATAAATTTGCAATAGCCAAACCCAAACGAAAATAGTATATTTTATTATATGAGAAATTAAAAAAATTGTTTATACAAACTTCTTGGATCGATTGTTTCATCAACAATTATGTAAACGTAATTATTTCCAATATCACTAATTATTTGGTCCATAACGCTTTTTTAAATATTTGGTATGTAATTTTTTCTTAAAGTGCTTTCGTCCGGAATTGATTTGTCAGTATGTTTATCCAAAAATGATTTTATTAAATGATTGCTCTGCTTATGCAAAAGAATATTTGCAGCAACAAATGCATCACATAAATCTTCAAAAAATACCTTTTTACTATTCGAATTTTGAGAAGTAATCAAAAGCTGTTGTTTTTTTCTTTATTTTTTTTGTAATGTGTTTATGTGTTGAACTAAAAAAAATATACATGTATTTTTGAAACAATATCTAGTATATTACGTGGAGTGTGAGCGTAAAATACAAAACTTACTTGTTTTGATATGATGATCT